AAGATGCACGAATCCCACATCAGCGCAGAGTAAAAATATTACAATGGAAATTATGTTTTAAGAAGCAATTAAATTATCCATTTTTATTTATCTATTCATCAGCAAAAAAATAAATAAAATTAAAATAAATAGAACGTTTAACATGTCAGAGCATCACTAGCCTGATTTGAACCAGACCCTGTCCTTCACTTTGCTTCGTACAAGGGTATGGACTTGATGCAAAGAGTATCGATTCCCTGCAGGAGGCATGGACTCTGCGGCAGTTTAAAATGATTGGATCAGTTGGCTGCGACGTATGTTGCTGTGACGGAGGCTAAGCTAAGAAGCTAACCGGAAATCGCATGTGCTGTAAACAACCCTACTGAGAGAAGAGAAGTACCGAGCCAAACGAGACGGCTGTAAATGAGAGCTGCTGCTTTGTCAGACAAATTTATTTTAATTTGGAATCCTCATCAACACAGACTGGCTTCATTCACTTCCTCCACTGCCATATTCTAAAATCACTGCGCAGAAAGTCTACGTCGTTCAAAGCTCCTCCATCTGTTCTCTGATTGGCCCGGCTAAAATCGGCCAGCGAAATCCATTTCAATGGGAGAACTCCCAGACGGAGCAGTGTAGTGAAGGGAAACTAGAATTGAGCGGATCTGCATTGGAAGGCAAGGGCCAGGCTAGAGCATCCCAGGTTTTTATTCAACCACATACCAAAACTATGCAGGTTAGGTTAACTGAAAACTCTAAATTGTCATTCGGTGTGAGTGAGAGTAAATGGTTGCTTGCTTTGTTTGTCTTTGTAGCCCTGTGATGGGYTGACAACATGTCCAGGGTGCACCTCACCTTTTAAACAATGACCCCTGGAACTACTTCCATCAACCCAACAGAGAAAAGCAGTAATGGATTTGTAGCAGCCTCTGCAGTACTTTAAATAATCCTTATGTATATGTGCCATGTAAAGCTTTTAGGAAGGTTTTTAGGTTATTCCCAATAGTCAGTTCATCTATAAGTGGTGAAATGCACTGCGTTCCCCTCTGGGAAACAAGGGGAGCAATGCATTTTTGTTGTCAAACATGATTTGTTTAACCTTTTGTTACCAGAATTTTAAAAATGTAACCAAAAAAGAATGTGGGTGTGTGTTGGGGCTGTATATATATTTCCAAAAGGATTTCTGTGTACACAAGAACTGAGAATCCTCTGTGCTGCTCAGACTGCAGTTTCTGTTCCAGGATTTTCATCCAAACACAAGTTCAGAAACTCATTTCTGATTGTGATAAATCAACATGAAGTTTTGTTCTAATATAGCTGCTCTGCTTATAGCAGCTTGTCTGTTTGTGCCCTCTTATTCTGTCCTCCCAAAACCTGGTAAGTTTTTGTTCCTTTATCTGTTAAGCTATAATCTATTCTGCTTAGGTTTGAGATTTGTTTAATAGACCTAAAAACCCTAATATTGTTAAGCCAATTCTTCCTTAAAACCAGGGATCTGTCCAAAAGAAGCTATTCTCCTGCCTTTACCACCATGTGACAATGACACGGATTGCTCTGGAGCTGACAAATGCTGCAAGTATGGAAATGAAACCCTCTGCGCCCCTCCTAGTACAAGTAAGAGACACAAAGTTGACCAAAATAGGTTTTGTTTTAAGTGAATACAATTTTGAATCCATAAATAACAAAAACAACACATCAAAGCACAGAAAAAAGAAACATTTTATGTTTTTGGATGAGGATCATCACCTCCAAATCTGAGAACATGGTCCTCAGTTTGAAAAATGGTGGATTCCTCTCTCTGATTTAATATTTGCAAGTGAGGGATGAAATACTAATTTCTGAAGCTTTCATTAAAGTCTGTAGTAGTTCATCAAATATTTTGCCAGAACTAGACAAGCAAACTCGTGCTCACACACACAAAAACACAGATGAAATCATTATTGGGAATAAACACAGACTCGTGTAAAAGCTTACATTTGTCAGGGATTTATTWTCCTTTATTTACACAAATATTGTCTTTTATCTCAGGATCTCGCAGAGCTTCAATAAAACCAGGTCAATGTCCGAAGTTCTTTGAATCCTTCGCACCGTTGCAGCCATGTCGCAGAGACAGAAACTGCCCTGGAATGGAAAAATGCTGCATGTTTGACTATGGATCTTTTTGTGTCCCTCCTAAGCRACGTAAGAGAAACASYATCTGAGAAAGTAGCCATTAATTGTTTTGTTCAATCTGTATAACAGTTGTTGGGTTGATGGGTTTTTTTTTCTCAGCTGCTCTTGGGTGTCCACCTCATGGAAGGTTTGGGCCTTGTATTGACGCATGTTTTGATGGATGCCAAAATGGTCAGATGTGCTGCCCTAATGGTTGTGGACGACAGTGCATGACACCAGTACCAGGTGAGAATAAATCAAAAGTCCTCAGTTACTCTCCTCATATAGCTGCCATAAAGAGAATTAATGTTGTTGTTGTTGTTGTTGTTGTTGCTGTTTTTATATTTATTTTTACCTTTTTATTTATTTTGCTTTTCAGTTTAGCCAAACTTTGTGGATGACATCTATTCATCCTTCACTGACATGATGGTAATGCTGGTGAATGCAGCAGAAGTGCTCTCTGAACAGATGTGGTTACCAAGTGAATGCTTGGCAAATAAACTCAATATTGATGCTTTTTACTTGTATTGGGATGTTCATTGAATAACTTTGATATTGCCTTTACTTAGTCAAATATAATGAGACAGAACCAAGATTTTAGGGCTAGGGTTGACTAAAAATATAAAGATACTAAAATATTGCTTTCTACACTACACATAACCTATTTAGAAAGTTTTATAGCCAACACAGCATTAAGTGATCATATTTCACACATATTAKTTGCTTATGAAAATCACTTACTTAAGAACAAATTCATTTCTCAATAATGAATTTAGATGACAACAGGAACACTCACAAATGTCACCAAATCTGTGCACCCCCTCATAACCGAAAGGWTTAAAGTTACCAGGTCTGTGTTTGGTCCAAAATATACTTCACATAGTGACTTCTAACACCTGCAAGTTAGAAGCAAATACTTATATCCTGTATGACATTATTTGGGGTCAAATTATTTTGTCATGGAATACGGTCAGTGTATCTTTTGGTCATTGGATTTTCATTTTTGAAACGGGTATTAAAAAACAAGAAATGAGTGGATATTTGATTTTTTTTAAATACTGAAATTAAAATTAAAATACAAAGCCATTCTCATTCTTAATGTCAAAAGGGGATAAACAAACTGTTAAAAATGATTTGAGTTTCATTTTCTGTTTCAGATAGCAAAAAAGAAAATTTCTTGAAGACACAAACGAAAAAAGGCTTGTTTATTTGTATTTTACGACTATCTATTCCCCCACCAGAAGGGGCGCTCGCCTGACAGCTCTGCTTAATGAAACACTAATTTCTGTGAATAAAAGGCTGAAACACAGAGAAGTACAGTATGACCATAAATGAGTTGTATGATGACTCTTGCTCTGTGACCAAAGGCTTTGCAGAGATAATTCATGTGGAATTTTTCTCAATAAAAAGCAAAATAAGATAAATTTCATTCTATTAGTGCATTGCACATTTGTTGTTATGTGAGCACAAAGGTTTTTTTTCCTCCTGAGTTTTGACAAAATCTATGCTTTTTTCTGTCAGCTCGTGTCCTCGGAGTGTTCGTTTCAGCGAAGGGTGGGTGGTACTACGACTTTGATATTGATCTGATTCCAAATAAATACTTGGCAAATTTATTTGATACCGAAGTCAGCATCAATGCTTTTTACTTGTAATGGGATGTTTATTGAGTAACTTTGATATTGAAGACACCCCATCTGGTGGTGAAAGAGTTTATTGTAGGGATAAAGTAAGTTGGCACGACCTGTCATGTATTATGAACAAACAAGCCTTTTTCCGTTTCTGTCTTAAACTAATTTTGTTTTTTGCTGTCTGAAGCAGAAAATGAAACTCAAATCATTTAAAAAATTTAGTTCATCCTTTTTGACACTAAGAATGAGAAACACTTTATATTTTAATTCTAATTTCAGTATTTTAAAACAAAAATCAAATATCCAATCGTTTCTTGTTTTTTAATACCCATTTCGAAAATGAAAATCCAATGACCAAAAGATACACTGACAGAATATGAACAAACTAGTGGGGTTTTTTTTTTCATTTCTGTTTTTTGCTATTCAAAACAGAAAATGAAACACAAATCATTCCAAAAGTTTTCTCTTCCCTATTCGACAAGAAAGAAAAAAGCTTTGTATTTCAATTTTAATTTCTGTACTTAAAAAAAATCAAATAGCCACTGGTTTCTTGTTTCTTAATACCCAGTTCTAAAAAGAAGTTCCAATGGCCACAACATACACTGACCCAGAGGAGCATCATGGTGAAAGCTATAATGCTGCGCTTGTGAAAGTAAAACTGCTGGGTTTCACCTTGGCACTCTGAGTTTCACACTGTCGAATAAGACCTGGTTTAAAAAAGGAAACTAAACTGTCATTTGAAGTAAGTAAGAGTGTGAATGGTTGCTTATTTTGTTTGTCTTTGTGGCCCTGTGTTGGACTGGAACATATCCAGGGTTTACCCCACCTTTTAAACATTAGTTCTATCAACCCAACATAGAAAAACAGTAATAGAGTAATTACAGCAGTCTATGCACTACACTTTTTGAAAAAGGGTCCATTACCAACGGTCAGTTCATTCATATGATAGAGGATAAAATGCATTGCTTGCGTTTGACTCCTCTGATCTAAAAAAAATAAAAATAATAACAAAAAACAACAATCTATGTCAACAAAAGCTCAAAATCAAAGAAAAAATATGCAGTGCTTTCACAATTGGTTGCCAAACAGGATTTGACCTTTACCCTTTTGTTACCAGAAGAATTTCAAAAAGTGTATCCAAAAAAGCTGGTACGGAATTTGGGTGTGTCTTTTGGGACTATATAGTTTTTCAAAAGGATCTCTGCAGACACAAGGATCCAGCATCCTCTGTGCTGCTCAGACTGCAGCTTCTGTTCCAGGATCTTTATCCAAACACAAGTTCAGGATTTCTGTTGGTGAGAAATCACCATGAAGTTCTGTTCTACAATAGCTGCTCTGCTTATAGCAGCTTGTCTGTTTGTGCCCTCTTACTCTGCTCAGCCAAAACCTGGTAAGATTTTTTTTTCTTTCAAGTGTTCTATTATCTGTTTATGTTTGAGTTTTTGTTTTATTAAAACTAAAAACTCTAATATTTTTAAGCTAGTTATTCTTTAAAACCAGGGGTCTGTCCAGAAGCCTTTAATACTCTACGGCCTGTACCACCATGTACCGATGATACGGATTGTTTTGGAACTGAAAAATGCTGCAAGTATGGATATGGATCTGTCTGTGCCCCTCCTTTTTCAAGTAAGAGACACAAAATTGACCAAAGATTTTGTTTTAAGTGAATACAATTTTGAATCAATAAATAACCAAGCCAACCAAACATGTCAAAGCACAAAAATAAGAGAAATATTTTATGTTTTTGGATGAGGATCACCACCTCCAAATCTGAGACCATGGTCCTCAGTTCGGAAAAAGGTTGATTACTCTCTCTGAAGTATTGTTGACAAGTGAGGGAAGAAAGGAATGTGAAATCACTGGTGCCACTTGTAGATGTCCATCCAAAGACTAATTTCTGAAGGTTTCATTAATGTCAGTAGAAGTTCATGGTATTTTGCCAGAACTACAGACAAGCAAACTTGTGCTCACACACACAAAAACACAGATAAAATCATTACTGGGAATAAAAACTGACTCCTGTAAAAACTTACATTTGTCAGGGATTCTATTTTTTTTTTTTCATTTTTTTGCACAAACATTGTCTTTTGTCTCAGGATCTCGCAGAGCTTCAATAAAACCAGGTCGATGTCCAAAGGTCTTTGAATCCTTCGCACCGTTGCAGCCATGTCGCAGAGACAGAAACTGCCCTGGAGAAGAAAAATGCTGCGTGATTAACAACAGACCTGGTTGTGTCCCTCCTGAGCCATGTGAGAGAAACAGTTTTAATGTCTTTGTTGTTGTTGTTGTTGCTGTTTTTATATTTATTTTTATCTGTTTGTTTGTTTGTTTTTGCTTTTCAGTTTAGCCAAACTTTGTGGATGACATCTATTCATCCCTCACTGACATGATGGTAATGCTGGTGAACGCAGCAGAAGTGCTCTCTGAACAGATGTGGTTACACCTGTGAGCGACCCATTTTGTTCCTAAAATTAGCTGAGTTGCATATGCTTCATTCAGTGTGTTCATCTTTGATTTCTTCAATACAGACATGTTGATTAAAAATGTCAGTATATACAGTATTATATTGCTTATATTTCTTTGTGATGCCCATTGTCAAACAACGGTTGAAAAGTGTTTTGGTATTTCTACATTTTACRGTAAAAACAGCGTGTGTCACAAAGGTGTACTGTGGGTATTGGTTTTCATATTTATGTATTTTTTTAATCAATAAGCCACCAGTTAAATGATCAGGAGTCTGTGAATGTCTTTCATTTGATTTATTTTAGCTGTTTTGTACAGGCAGCTGGATATAAACCACCTTAATCTTTAGGTGAAGCTATTAGATCCTTACATGCAACACAAACTTGTAAAACAAAACATGTTTACAAAAACTAACACATAAATTGGTTGTTACATCCTGGTTTGGAGCTTGAGTTTTGCACAGAAAAAGTACCAAAGGAAAAAACAACTGTTTCTTATATTGTCATGGGTGCATCAAGGTACACAGATTTCATACACAAAAATAAGTTTACAGGTTTCTCACAGAAGAACAGGTTTCAGAAAAATATCAGTGCATTCAGCAAATTTTTCAAAAAAAATTTTTTTCTTAGCTTTTTGACAAAATCTGTGCTTTTTTTCTCACATCCCTTGAGTGTTCCTTTTAGCGAGGTGTTGGCGATACTACAACTTTGATTATGATCCAATACCAAGTGAATACTTGACAAACATACTCGATATTGATGCTTTTTACTTGTATTGGGATGTTCATTGAATAACTTTGATATTTATTTACTTAGTCGAATATGATGAGACAGAACCAAGATTTTAGGGCAGGGTCAGACTAAAAATATAAGGATACTAAAATATTGCTTTCTACTGAACAGAACCTGTTTAAAAAGTATTGTAGCCAATACAGTATTATGTGATCATATTTCGTACATAATAGTTGCTTATGAATATCACTTATTTAAGAAGAAATTCATTTCAAAACAAAAATCAAATAACCACTGGTTTCTTGTTTTTTAATTCCCAATTCTAAAAAGAAAATCCAATGACTGAAACATACACTGACCCAAGAGGAGCATCATGGTGAAAGCTATAATGCTGCGCTTGTGAAAGTAAAACTGTTGGGCTTCACCTTGGCACTCTGAGTTTTACATTGCCAAATTGGACCTGGTTTAAAAAAGGAAACTAAACTGTCATTTGAAGTAAGTAAGAGTGTGAATGGTTGCTTGTTTTGTTTGTTTTTGTGGCCCTGTGTTGGACTGGAACATGTCCAGGGTGTACCCCACCTTTTAAACATTAGTTCTGTCAACCCAACATAGAAAAACAGTAATGGAGTAATTGTAACAGCCTATGCACTACACTTTTTGAAAAAGGATCCATTACTAACGGTCAGTTCATTTATATGATAGAGGATAAAATGCATTGTAAGTAAGTAAGTAAGTAAAGTTTTATTCATATAGCGCATTTCACAGAAATAAATTCACAAGGTGCTGTACATTCAGGGAAAGGGGGAGGGAGCAGTTAAGAAACACCCATTCAAGAAACTTACAAGACAAACATGGGGGAACAGGTGAAACCGGTCATGCCGCAAACACAGTTTCACTACCTTTAACAGCTTCAAATACACAAAAGGAAAATTGAGTTGAACAACCTGCGAAAGGGCAAGACAGCCTGGAGGGGGGTGGGTGCTTAGGTCAGATAACACATACAGGGAAGGTAAAATGGGGCGGGTTCAGAGAAGTAGGTGATGTTGAGGGAGAGGGGGTCTGTGCTAGGCCCAACCCTGGGCCCGTCCAGAGTCCAGAGTCACATGATGTTATTGTCTCTACTCGGTTCACTAGAGTTCTGAGATTTTCCTCCTCCTCAGCCAGTTGAATCCCAAGGCCAGGTCCAACACGGGTGGTGGGGGTGGGAGCGAATCCAGCTCTTAGGTGACATTCCATCCTGGGGAGGTTAAGATAGGCACTGCCCTCAAGGCCATGCCTCTGGGAGCCAAATGTCTTGGAAACAAAGCAGCCTTGAAATTCCTGCAGTGTTTTGAAGTGTCTTTACTGCAAACTCTGAGGTGGCGAAAAAAAAAAGCCAATCAGCTGAATTTGGGGTCATTCCTCGCCTCTCACCGATTGAAGCTCACCCAGATGTAGTCCATACATGCCGAAGGGTCGCTCCTGAGCTGTGATCATCAATCACATCCAGTTTGAGAATTTTTCCCCCAGCTGAGAGTCTGTGTGCTTCCAGCCAGCAGAATCCTTCAAGTGCGCCCGACAGATCTTCAAAGGCCAGATCCACTGTCAGTGTCGCTTTCACTTTTCGATAAATCTGGAACCCTCCATGGGGCGGCTGTGGTAGAGTGCTTAGGGTAGTCGTCCTGGAACCGGAAGTTCCCCGGTTCGATCCCCGTCCAGTTGACTCAGTCGTTGTGTCCTTGGGCAAGACACCTTACCCGCCTTGCCTACTGATGGTGGTCAGAGGGTTCAGTGGTACCTGTGTATGGCAGCCTCGCTTCTGTCAGTGTGCCCCAGGGCATCTGTGGCTACAATGTAGTTTGCCATCATCAGTATATGAATGTGTGTGTACATGGGTGAATGTCTGTAGTGTGAAGCGCTTTGAGTGTCCTGGATGGATAGAAAGGCGCTATGTGAGTACAGTACATTTACCATTTACCATTCCTCTGCCGATCAGCAGGAATCCAGTTATCATAATCCAAACAAATAAAGGTCTTTGATGGAAAGTGGTGCTGGCATATCAGATTCCAGCCCCAAGAATCAGAAAAATCCAGCAGCAACCATTCCAACCAGACAGCAACGTTCCCCTCATGCCAAGTGTAGAAAAAATATGTAGTGTCAATTTCATTCAGAGTCCAGGGGCCTCATGCATAAAGGTGTGCGCAGCTTTCACACTAAAAGTTGACGTACGGACAAATTTAGAAATGTGCGCCGCACCAAAATATTCAGATGTAAAAAACCGTAAACATGCATGTTCCTGCGCACCTTTCCTTTATACATCCCAATGAACGTGGAATTTAGCGCACGTAAAACACCTCCCCTGACACGCCTCCTTTTAAATATATAAAATAGATGTAAATGTGTCCAGTGTGTGTGATTCTCCTCAGATTCCTCTCTGTGGGATCAGAAGCGATTTTTAGATGCAGGAAAATTATACATTAAATGGAGAATGAGTGATAAAACTGACTGAATAAGTAGTGTGCTGTAAAAATATAAAAATAAAATCATTATTGGGAATAAAAACAGACTCCTGTAAAAACTTAAATTTGTCAGGGACTTTTTTTCCTTTATTTGCACAAATATTGTCTTTTATCTCAGGATCTCACAGAGCTTTGATAAAACCACGGTTGCAGCCATGTCGCAGAGACAGTGATTGCCCTGGAGATGAAAAATGCTGCGTATTTGACTTCGGATCTGGTTGTGTCCCTCCTGAGCCATGTGAGAGAAACAGTATCTGAGAAAGTAGCCRTTAAATGTTTTGTTCAATCTGTATAACATTTGTTGGGTTGATGTTTTATTGTTTTTTTTTTTTTCTCAGCTGCTCTTAAGTGTCCACCTCATGGAAGATTTGGGTCTTGTATTGAAGGATGTTTTGATGGATGAAAAAATGGTCAGATGTGCTGCTCTACTGGTTGTGGACAAGAGTGCATGACACCAGTACCAGGTGAGAATAAATAAAGTATCAAAACTCCCCACTTACTTTCCTCTTATGGCTGCCATAAACTGAATGAA